CAATCAATCTGAGATACGCCAGGTTCCCTAGAGCGGACCACAATCCCCCCAGGGGCCTGCCCCACCCTGCCCACCAGCGGATGACTTGTAACTCCGCTGGCCATTTTCTCTTCTTAGATTGGCTACTCAGTTATAGAAAAATCTCTCTCCCTCTATCGGTTAACACGTTCCAAAGGAAGCATACGCTTGCTGGAGAGAGGGAGGCTCGGGGTGGGTAGCGTGATCTCTGCTGTCACACGTGCTGGTCAGAGGCTCAGACGAGCACAGGCATCGCCACAGTGGTGCCGCTGGGGATAGGGCAGACCTGGATGGGCAAATGCTCTAGAAACTGGGCTCCGCCTCCTCTTTGGCCCTCAGAACCTCTGAGTGGCAGAGTTCTCCCAGTCCAGCTCTAGAAAGCCTCTGCCTCCAGGAGGTGCAGAAGGGCAACCAGAGGGCGCAGGGCTTCGCCAAGGGTCATACAGGGAGTGGGGGCCCAGTCAGGTCAGAAACCCAGGATGGGCGACTGGGAGCGGCCGGGAACTCCTGACCTGAAGGAAGAAGGGACACGTGGGCAACGCTCCTGCCCGAACCACAGGACACAGGGCCGCTGTCCCAGGAGGTGGCCATCTCAGGACACTCCCCAGCTCAGAAACCAACATTGCAGACAGACGGGGGGCTGTTAGCCCCGAGGAGCCCCCTTGGAGATCAGCTCCTGCAACCCAGCATTTCATAGCTTCGGGAACAGAAAAGAATGAGACTTGGTCCAGGCCACTGGGCCAGCTGGCACGGAGCCGTGACCAAATTCCTGGTCAGGTGGCCTGCCCCTTTCTTCCCTCCTGGGTCCGCAGGACAGGGGCAGGGGGCGTCCTCCGACCGAGGCATCCCTCCGGGTCCCAGCGGTACAGGAGTCAGACACCCCCACTCCCCGCCCCAGCTGTGGGGTCGCAGCCGAGCACTGCTACCGCGACAGAGGCTCCTGGCTGGCGCCCGGTGTCGCGGCAGGGCGGGGCTGCCCGGGTCACCTGCATCAGCTCGAATATGTGGTTCTCCTCCCCGTATCGGGGCATTTCGGGGGGTATGCGGTGCGGGGCGGTGGTCGCGTCCATGGCTCCGTGCGGCGCGCCCGCTCCCTGGAGACCGCCGTCGCTAGGGCCGCCGCGCCGTCGCGTCATCAGCGCGCGCCCGCTCCCTGGAGACCGCCGTCGCTAGGGCCGCCGCGCCGTCGCGTCATCAGCGCGCGCCCGCGGGCCCCGGAGCCTGGAACCGGCCTCGTTCCCGGTCCGCGCGCTCAATCGCCGGGGGCAGGTGCTTCCCTGGGGGCAGGTGCTTCCCCGTGGCGGCCTCGCAGTGCCGTCTGTGCGTCTCGGGGTGGGGGGCCTTCCAGCCTTCTAGGACCAGGGGTGCCCCTAGGAGGGCCCCAGGTGCCGAGACGCCCAGGGGGCACGTCGGTCCCCCGAGGGGGCGGGAGGCGGGGCGTGCGCTAGTCCTGCCATCGCACCCCGACCTGGGCCTTGGGCGCTCCGACGGCCAGCCCGGCGCTGCTCTCTGGCCCTCAGTTTTCCCATCTGTAAAGTGAGTACAGGTCCGGGAAGGCTGTTGAAACGGTAGGGGCGGTCCCTGGGGCGGCCGGGCGAGGCAGGGCTGCCACGTGACCCGATTGCTATGGCACCCGCGGGGACAATCGGGCCCGCGGCCCCGCCCCTCCTCACACCTCCCCGCCCCACCCACCCACCCACCCACCTTCCCGGCCCTGGGAAGGGCCCCTCTGGGGCCCCAGACACCCTTGGAGGCACTTCGGTTTCAGGGCGCTCTGTGAGTGAAGACCGTTCTGGGACCAGCAAGGTTAAAGCGGGCCCACCCTAGACCTGGGGGTGGGGGGGAGGGAATGGTGGGGACCCGCTGCGGCTCCTGGAGGGGGTGGGTGGGACGTGGTGGGGGAAGGAGCGCTTCGAAAAGCGACAGTCCCCAGTGGAACTGGAGCCGCCTGCTATGGGACGCAGCGCTGAATGGGGAGCTCCGGCTTTTGTCTGTTGTCATTTTTAGAAGGTTTTTGAGCTGTGTTCTTAACAAAACTATGGGGCACGGCCATTATGGACCGGGCGTCTGGCATTTACAATACAGATCGCCCTGTGTGCAGCTCCTGGCCCCACCTCTGTGAGCCTGCTCTATGCCTCACCTCTTCTGCGAAGTGGGGATTATGTAAGGATCCCATGAGCTAATATGCCTGAAGTATGGGTTACTGGCATATATTAAGTGCACAATGCATAGGGGCTACTATTAGTAATATTTCATTTAATATTTGCACCAGCCCCAGAAATAAGTACCTTCATGCCCATCTTACAAAGAAGAAATTGGAGGGTCAGAATGGTGAACAAGTAGTGGAGCGTATGACCTGGGGCAAGTCATTTCCCTTTTCTGGGTCTCTTTTCTCATCAGGTATAGATCATGTAGCATTAGCATCAGAAGCCCGCTGGAAGTTCTCCTAATCCAAATGGCCCTGTTTTACAGAGAGATAAACTGAGGTCCGGACAGGGGGAAGTTCTTGGCCAAGTTCACTTACTAATCAAAGGCAGAGCCAGGGCAAGTGTCTTGACTCCCAGCCAAAGCCTTTCCCACCAGCCACTAAGTGCCCAGAGACATGCCCTCCAACCGTAAAACGCTGCAGATCGGCCTCTTCCCCTCAGAACCGCTTCCTCAAAGCGCAAAGCGCGCACACCTTGGTTGGCTTGTCAAAGCCAACTGCAAAGACAGCAGGGGAAGAAAAGGAAGCTGTCTCCCCGTGAACAAAGAACACACAACCAAACCTGCAATTTGCACTGGAGAGCTTCAGTTTGCTTCCTGGACATTTCTGAAATGACTTGCCTTTCTCCTCATTTATTTTAAGCCCTAGGCGCTTTTCATACCATGATTTAATCTTCTTTAGCAGCCTGGAAAAATACAAATCAATTAAAGCCTAAAACCTATTGGGTAATCATTTTTTCCTTCCTCCTCCCCCAGATCGAGAAGTGCCTGCACCCTGCGCCTTTCATCCAGACTAATTTGGCTGCAGTGACTCGTTCAAGGGACGATCGCTTTGGATAGCTTATTACAGCTGTTCTCACGACATTCCTGGAGTGCATGTCAGAAGTCCCTAGGATCAAGAACCAAGTCAGTTTTGCTCTCAGGGGCTCTTGGGGCCACCAGCAGAGGTCGAGCTGTATCCTTGGAGAAGCTGACAGCCCCAGGAAGCCCCAGGAGGGTGGCAGGGAGCCAGACACGCAGGGCAGGGCCCTGAACACTAGGGGCGGGGGAGCAGAGAACAGTCTCCTGCAAGCGGAAACGAGGCCCAGGGATCCAGCTAGGGTATGACCCCCCAGGGGGTTCGGGCAGCTTTTCAGGCTTTGGGTATCGCCTCCACCCCAGCCACCCACTCCCAGCCCTGGTCAGTCTGATGTCTGGCACGTCTGTCTCTGTGGACCATCACGGAGGAAGGGAGGGAGGGATCCAAGATCCCAGACTTTACAAAATGAGGCAGAGCTGCGTGGGAAATCCTGGCTTGCCCACCTCTAGCGGGGTGACCTCAGCGCCATCGTCTGTCACGTGGGGATAATCGCGGTGCTTACCATTCACAGGGCGGTGGTGAGGACTTCATGCATGGCCAGGGTTCTCTCAGAGCCCCGTCGAGAGTCACTGCTGTTGGGGAGGGTTGGGGCGGGAGTTCAGGATCTCGCCGAAGGCTGGAGCAGCGAGGCGCTCGTCTGCCCTGCACCCACCCACCTCCGTAAAGGACCCTCCAGCAGACTGTGCTTAGCCCTTCGTCCCGACCACGCCCATCCCACTGGCCTGCTTGCTTTTCTCTTTGGTAGCGCCCTTATCCAAAACACTGTTGGTTTGCTCGCTCATCCTTACTGACTGCCTCCCACTCTGAAAGATGAATTCCAGGGGGGAGGATCTTTCTACTTGGTTCAGTGCTGTGTGTAGCCCAGCACGCAGAATCGGGGCTGGCATACAGGAGGCACTGCAGAAGGAATGAATGAACAAACGAACGAACGCATGAAGTGCTTCTTACCCCCTTGGCCTTCAGGGGTTCTCCTAGCTTTGCCTGATGCTTGGGGGTCCCCCGGGCTACCCTGCCCACTGCCTTCTGTGCTGGCTCACAATTTTCCCATGTCGCCCCTCCTGACGCTCCAGCCCACCCTCCCCCCACCTCTCCTCTCCCGGAGCTCAAGCTTTCAGGGTGTGCACCTTGCCTGTCGTGGCATGCCCCTGCCATTGTGTGCGCCCTGCCCTGTGTAATCACGGCAGCTTTCATTGCTCTGACAGCCAGGCACTGCCGCCTTCCGGGCTCTGGGCAGTGCTCGCCCCGTCGCCCGAGGCTGGGAGGCCGACGCTGTTATTTCTCTCTAGCACGTTAGCACTCAGAGGCTCACCCCAGGCCGGCACAGGATTGGAACCCAGGACTAGGAGTCCAGAGCTTGGGTTCTTAACCACCAAACACAGCTCTGAGCATTATGGGGCAAGGCCAGACTGAAAGCACACACACACCCCCTCCCCAGAAACGCACCTGTGTGCTGTGCTCTGGCTTGTCTAGGTCTTCAACCCCCCGAGTCACTTGTAAGCCCAGGGCCAAGAGTAAGGCAATTGCCTTGGTATGAAATGTGAAGATGGCCCCCCCAAACCCCAATAATCAAAGCAAACACATTTAAAAACATCAAAACCCATCAAAAATCCACTTCGGTCCAAAATTTAAAGATGAGATCAGTATTACTTGTTCCTTTTGCCTTGGGCTCCAATATGGCGTGGCACCGGACCCCGTCCCGTCTTTAAAATTCTGATACTTTGCAGATTCTTTGGTGTTAACTTTCATTTCTTTAAATAGTGCGTTAAATATTTTTACCTGGCTCAACTGCTGAGTTCTCTGGTGCCCCAGCTTTACCATGTCCTCCATTTGTGCTTCTGGGCGGGGGGTGGGGAGACCTGGGGGTGTTTGATAGACAGGAGGCCCTCACCGCACCCCCACTACCCTGGCTCCCCCTCTCACTCACCCACTTCCGGCAGGGGGCTGAGTCGGGAGGAAGTGCCAGTGTCCGCAAACACAGGCACCGTGGCTCCCAGGAGTGGCCTTGGCACTGCCTCTGAATGGGCTCTGTTCTATTCACAGTTGACCCCCTGAGGTTCATGGGGCGCCACTGTCTCGGGGCCCTTCCTGGGGCAGGTCAGCTCCCAGCCCTCCCCAGCTTCTCTGATCTGCTTGTTCCTGTCATGCCCTGGAGGCCAACTTCTGATCTGTTCTTGCATTTCCTTTGGTCCCTCTCTTTGCCGCAAAGATGCCCTCCTTGCTCCAGCCCTGCTCTGGGCTCCGGACGCTGAGGCCACACAGTGGAGAGAAATGCCTCCCCTCTCCCTCGGGCCCCTTCCTCTCCACCTGGGCGGGGCCTCCCAGGAAGCCTGGAATGTGTTCTTCTCCAGCCCCCTGCCCTCACCAGGTGTCCTGGCCCCTTCCACCTGCTACCAGCCCTAGACTTGGCCCAGCCTCCTCTGAGCCCTGTTCACTCGGGGCGTGTCTGGTGCCGGTGCCTCAAGGGTGGAGACGCAGAAGCCGGCGACCTAGGGTGTCTCGGACGCAAGCTTGCTGCGACACCCTGGACTGCAGTTAAGGAGAGCCGACGGACGAGGTCTCTTCCGGCTCTAGCATTCCATACGTCTGTGACCTGAAGAGCCCTTTGCCCTGGCTCGCTCAGCAAATTCATGATGTCACAGAGAGCAGAACCCACAGCCTTCTCTGCTCACGGAGGAGATTCTAGACGTGCTGTGGACTGCCTGAACCAGGGACAGTCTGTGAGGCCCCAAAAAGGGAGCACCCCCATAGCGCTGATGTTTCCCATGGGGGCATTCCTTCAATAAACAGTGGGAGGCAGGGAGGAATCGTCGGAGGCCAGCCCGGCCCCGAGAATTGCAAGCCTGAGCTGAAGGCTCCTGACCCAAGCACAGAGCAGGGAGACTGCATCTTAGACTCGACAGTCCCATACAGGCACTAGCCCTGCTTGGCCCACTGGAAACTATCCCTAGAGTGTCCCACCGATTGCAAAGTGGCAGATATTTTAAAACAATTTGGTCCAAACCGATAGAAATCACAGATTTTACATGCTGTGGCACATCCCTGGATGCCCTCCGCTGCCGACGGCACGGGAAGGCACTGGAGTCCGTGGGTGTGGGTGAGGGTGTCCACAGCATGGAGAAACTGAGGACCAGAGAAATCCTTGTCCACACTTGAGGGAAGGAAGTCACGGTCCACGGCAAAGAACGTGTCCTTGGAGGGAAAGGGGGCTTGGGTCAGGCTCCAGCGTGTCCTGGACTACCTAGGGGATCTGGAGTGGGCCCGGGGTGGGGGGGGGGGGAGAGGGGGGCGGGGCGAGAGGGGTCGTGGGCCTGCTGGTCTGAGACTCCAAAGCAGCTCCGCAGTCTGGCACCTGGGGCTTCATCGCTGTGTTCTTCCCGCAGATTCCCGTCCTCCTGTGAATGACCGCTGAGGAAGACCATGAATGAGGCAAAGGAGTCCCTGCGAAGCATCGAGCAGAAGTACAAGCTCTTCCAGCAGCAACAGTTTACGTTCATCGCCGCTCTGGAGCACTGCAGGGAGAACGCCCACGACAAGATCCGGCCCATCACCAGCATCGGACAGGTGGCACCTCGCGCACTGGCCGGCGGGGAGGGGCCGGGCTCTCGGGAACCTGAGGGGGCCCAGCGACTCCTGGGAGACACCTTGCTTGGAGGGTGAGGGAGCTGAGGCCCAGAGAGGGCAAGGGTGTTTGTGCCGGGATCAGGACTCCAATCCTAATGAGGCGGGAACGGCTGTTCCGTTCCCTCACCATGTATGTGAGCAAATAACGACGTGGTTAAAACCGTGGGCTGCAGACTCTGTTGCCGGCCAGGGTTCGGGTCCCAGCTCAGCCCCACAGCCCTGCTGTGACCCGGGGCCAGTGAGTCACCTCTCTGTGCCCCAGCTGCCTCATCTGGGAAATGCGGGGTCTGCAGAATTAAGCTCGTGAGACGCCCAGCCAGCGTCTGACGCCTGCGGTCTCGGCAGTGGGATCCCACTGGGGTTGGAGAAGCCGACCCGCCAAGCACCTTGCTTCCCTCCTCTGCAGACATTTCCACTTAGCCTGGGCCTCCCTCGAGTCAGCTGCTATCCCAGTTTGCTCTGCAGGACCCGGAGGCCTCGACACCGAGCGCGCCCTCCAGGGAGCAGCACCCTCCTTGGTGGGACCCTCTCCTGCTGCCGGCCGAGGAGTCAGCTTGTGGGCAAGGCCCCAGGCGCGGGGCGGGTATGGGGATCAGCGCTCAGAACCGCTTAGGAGAAGCCCACGGGCCCCAGAGATCGCAACCCTCGCTGGCAACATCCTTCAACAAAAATCCTCCTTTGTAACGTGTGTGATCATTTCTCCCAGTTCTTCAACTTGAAAAATGATACACCAACAGAAAACACCCTCTTTCCCCTGAACTCTGTGGCAGTAAGTCAGCTGCACCCCTTCCTGCCCCCTCCCCAAAGGCTCAGACTTCCAAGGGCACCGGACAGGTTTTCAGTGCCAGGATGGAGCGTGTGAAACCCCTCCCCGCAGCCCCTGCTCAGAATCCATTGGAGCCTGGGTGACCCCGGCCCCTCACATGCACAGGGGGGTGGCCTTCCTGCCTTAGGGTCAGCAAAGGGCCTTGGTAAAACGGTGGCCCCACGCTCTGACTCTGCATGTGACGTGTTGATTCTCGGCCCTCACCCTGCCCCGCCTCCCCACCGGGACCTGGGTCATCCAACGGTGACCTTCCCACACACCTGGTAGCTCAGGGACTCTGGTCTATTGTAGTTACACGGCAGGGCAGGCTCCTCCCCACCCTCCTCGGGGCCCCTGGCGGCTGTCAGAGCCTCCTCCCCCTTACAAAGCCGCTGTACTTGGAAGGAACCACTCAGATCATCTGGGAAGACAACCAGCAACAGAAAGGCAGCCGGCAGCATCAGGAAACCCCTGGTCCCCCCGGCTCGCAATGCGGAGGGGAAGCGCTCATGAAATGGGCAGTTAATCCCTCTGGGACCAGGCCAGTACCTCCACAGCACAAGGCCAGCCCCCCGCCTTGCCTGACCTCCGATCCGGAGTGATCGGGTGGTCCTCGGATGCTCTGGAGAAGAGCCGCCATTCCCGAGGGCAGGGCTTGAAAGGCCGTCAGTGATGTCCGGAAGGGTCCCCTACTCCTGCATCTGAGATGTGTTCCCCGGGGGGCTTTGGTTTGGTTCTGGCACGAGAGCCCTTCACCCTCCCAGAGCCGCTGCAGGTGTGTGGCGGGAGGTAAAGATGACCTTCTCTCCTATGGATGACCCCTCTCCTGGGAACACAGGACAGTGCAACTTCAAAGGATTCTAGTGCCTTCTGTTTGCTCCTCAGTCGTCTGAGGAGCGGGACTCGAAGGAAAGTCAGGGAGCAGCCCGCTTGCTGCCAGTGTTGGGTTAGGTGCTCAGGGCCTGGTGACCTGGGGGTGAAGTCCCAGCCTGGCCACCTCCACTGGCGCCTGCCTGAGCAACTTATTTCACCGCTGAGCCTCCGCTGTTCATCTATAAGATGAGGGCTTCAAAAGGCACCCGGCACGTGGGCTTTAGGTGGGGGTGCCGGGAGACCCAGGCTGCACCGCGCTCCCGTGGTGCGTGGGGCCCTCGGTGACATTGACCACATGTGGTGGCCTGAGCGTCCAAATGCTTCGATGTGCCTGCATCTCCCCTGTGACTCTGGGAGGGTAGGAGGAATGGAGGGGAGGGGAGGAGGAATGGGGGGGGGTGCTCCTGGATGTTTGGGCCCCGAAACCAGCTGGGGGCTGGGTGGCACTCCCTGAGCTCCCTTCACGTGGCCCCTGCAGGTACAGAGCTACACGGACCATCACTGCAACAACTCCACGGACCGGCGCATTCTGCTCATGTTTCTGGACATCTGCACGGAGCTGAACAAGCTGTGCCAGAGCTTCGAGGCCCTGCACTCTGGCACCCCGGTCACCAACAACCTGCTCGAGAAATGCAAATCCCTGGTCAGCCAGAGCAACGACTTGAGCAGCCTCAGGGCAAAGTAAGTGGCTTCTGGGCTTGTCCCGGAGGCGCCAGCCAGCCTGTGCAGGGCGGAAGGGTGGAGAGGGAGGGGCGGCGTCCCGCAGGAAGGAGCAGCCTTCTGTCACGAGGACAGGTACGTCCCATCCGATGGGGCACGTGGCTACGGTCCAGGGCCCCCGCGCCCCCACCCCCCCACCTAGGAGGGGAATCCTAGGCCCATAGATGTAGCCAAAGGGCCAGCCCAACAAATCCTCTTATTGAAAGCGAGGGACGCTGAGGACCCACGTACAGTGGGACACAGACAGAGCCAGCACCGGGCAAGGGGACGGGGAGTCCCAGAGCAGATGTTCCCAGAAGCCCACGGAGTAGTGGGATGTCTGGAGCCCATCCCCATGGGCGTCTGGGCCTCAGCATCGCCAAGCGTGGCTCCCTCCTTCTGAGCCCTGGGGCGTCCTGGACACGCAGTACCGTACTCTGGAGGACGCTGTTTGGTCATCGGGGATAAGAGTCGGAGGGACCAACCACATTCTGGAGCAGTGACGGGCTTCCACAGCCCCTCATCCCGTCTCTACAACCACACACCAGTGGTTCGAGAATCCTGTCTCTCACGCCAGGATTGCCTAGAGTTCGGGGCCCGCAAGCCCGCCGAACCAGTGTCCGGAACCTCCCCGGGGACCGTGACGTGCGTCAGGACAGACCCCGCCCCGGGTCTGCCAGAGCCCCCTCTTGCCACCCTGCAGGTACCCTCACGACGTGGTGAACCACCTCAGCTGCGACGAGGCCAGGAACCACTACGGAGGCGTCGTCAGCCTCGTCCCCATCATCCTAGACTTAATGAAGGAATGGATCGCCCACTCGGAGAAGCTGCCCCGCAAAAGTCTGCAGCATGTGAGTGAGCCCCACGCGCGCCAGGAAGTCACCGCGGCAGCCGCTCCGCCTTCCCGGACCACCGGCACCCAGCCTCCGTTAAGAAAACACAAACGTAGTCAACTTAAAAAAGACAGCCCCCAACCTAGGGGGAAAGACACCAGATGTTCAAAACCTCCCTGGAGACCACCTGGCGGGAAGCTGTAACTCGGAGCTGGCACCCTGCTGCACCCCACGGGAGGGGGGGCAGGCAGGGCAGGGGGGTGCTGTCTCTTCACTTGGGCTCCCGTCCCAGCCACTGAAAAACCCCAAAGGGGCCTACCCAATATGCTTCTGAGAACCGGTCTCCCTCTCTCTCGCTTTAACTTCTCACCTCTCCTCACCTCTGGGCGTCAGGCTCTGTGCCCACTTCGTGTCGCTGGGAGAGGCTGGTGAGCCAGGGCACTGGCCGGCCCTGGCCTTCTGGGAGCTCCAGGCCCGCACCCTGCCAGACCCGCCCACACCACAGGCCCGCCTCTCCAGGCTGAGCCACCAAGGGGGAGGCCACAGGGCTCCCTTGCGGCCACCGCGGCCACCCACCATAGAGCTGCTCCTCCTGCCGGAAGCTGGGGGCCAGGCGGCGAACTTCCAGCAGGTGTCTGGGCCAGAACCCAAGGGGGATCGAACCTGCCTCTGCTCTCCTTTACCTGGGGCGGGGAGGCCATGAGAGGGGCCGGAAGGACTCTGCGGCTCCCACGTAAGAATCCCCTGGTTTCCACAGCACAGTCAAGGCCCCGACATTGTAGCGTGTGTCTCTGGCCTCTGAGCCTCCGGGAAGTACTGTCTGATTGTTGGTTTTTCCCTTCGCAGGGGGCGACTTAGATTCTGTACTCTTGCTTCCTCGGGGCGACCGTCAAGAATAAAAAATGTTCTCCCACCTGTCTGCCTGGCTTGGTTTCCTGGGGCCCCTCCCTTAAAGAAAACTACGTTTATCCTACGACATCAGAGGACACTGGGCAGTAGGCTCACAAACAAAACCGCCAGCAGAGAGCACACACGAGATACGGGAGTTTGCTCTCAGGAGGCTGAGGCCGAAGACCCCCAGGCCAGCGCAGGAACAACTCTCGTTCGAATGCGTTCACACGGGAATCTGAATGGGTAGCTGAGTTCTTCAGACAGAATTAAAAACTGCCGTCTCCGAGTCTGTATCTCCGAAGGAGCTGCTTCCGCCACTAAAACAAGCAGAGCGCACCGATTTCCAGGGGCAGCTGGAAATGTACGTTCTGTGGAAGCGATGGGAAGGCAAGGCTGGATCTAACAATCGCTTAAGGTAGTTTCCTGCTTTCTTCCAAATACCTGGTGACATTATGGAAGGAAGGTGGCGGCTGCCAGCTGCGCTGCTTCCTTGGCACACTCACAGAACACAACGGCAAGGCTCAGGGTTGGTAAGCTCTCCACGACCTCAGTGCTATGTGGGCTCACCCGCAAGGACTGTATTAAACCCCTCAAGGTGGCAAGCACGCTCCGAGCGCACGCGGGGACAGCAGTGTGGCCCGGCAGGCTGTCCGGTCTTGGGGGAGAGGACTCGAGTCACCCCTCCCGTGCCACCATGCCACTGTTGGGGGCAGGCGGGACTGTGAGGCAGATAAAGTAGGATCCGTGGCTATGTGCCAGGTACCTTTCTAGAACAAAAAGGGTCTGACAGCACCTCCTCCAGCCACCCGGCGTAACCAAGCCAGACCTGAGGCTTCTGCATCTTTGGTTTCGGTGGGTCCCTACTTTGCCTGTGAGCCCCTCCGAGGCCACCACGGGTCACTTCATGTCAACACAGCAGAGTAGTGCAAAACAATAGATTTTTATTTGTTCACAGTTAAACACAAGCAACTGCCTTGACATTTTAGAACATTCTAAGAAGGACAGCAAAACCCTTTTGATTCCAATTCCCATCCACTAAGATTGTACCATTTCCTCTTGCAGCTCATGTTATGGCATCTGCCGTGGATTGTTTGACATGCTTTTAAGATCGAGGCAGGAAGGTTTAAACCTTTTGACAAGAAAGAACTTTCTCAAATTTAACTAAAAGCAGTCAATTAAAAAATCTTTTCCCACTGATGGGACCCCTTTAAACTGCAAGTAAGCCGCATGTGGTTGATCCATGATTGAGTTATAAAACTAGATTACATCTTAGCAAAATCTGTCCCTCCGTAATATGTGTGTGGTCCACGGAAGTCTTCTGAAAAGTGATCACTGATTCTTCCTAGTGCAAAATGCCCGGCCGCCTCTTTGATAAGCAGAAGTTTCTGCTGCGTAGAGCAGCGCGTACCCTCCTGTCCAAACACTGTAGCTGGGGGGGGGGGGGGGGGGGGGGGGGGGGGGGGGGGGGGGGACGGGGGCTCAGACTCTCCGGGGTCTCCTCTAAGATCTGCTCCAATGTGTCAGTTAGCCTACATATCCCGGAGGGTGGACAATTTGATGGCAATGGGAAGGGAAGGGGGCAGAGAGCGCCTCTGCCTTCGTTCATTGGTTTCATGGCCAAAAGCGGCCATGGGCGCAGGTTCCCGGGTAGCTACAGCCACTCTTCCCTCAGGTGAGCTCGGACAGACCGCAGATGGTGGGGAAAAGGCAAAAACTCCACTCTCCCCACACACATCAGAGTCATGGACGGGGACACACGGGACAAGGGTCAAAGCAGCAGCCTCGGGGCCAGTCCCCAACCTAAACTTGCCCTTTCACCGCTAGAGAAAAGCGCCATCAGTGCAATGGATTCCTCCGTGGCGCCGGGGGAGGGAGGGCTCGTGTTACACAGCTGGGGGTGGGGGGAGGTGGCGCATAAACAGGTACCCAGATGCGCTCCAGCGACACATTTCGCTCCAGCGACACGTTTCGACAGTCACTGCCGGTCAATTCCGAGCGTGCACCTCGAGAGCGAAAAGGCAGCAGAGGATGTGTGCTGGGGGGGGTCGTTCCATGAGCCCACTGTTTCCCGCACGAGACATGCTCTGGGTGGGATCGGGCTTCTCCGGGGACCACTCTGAAGACGGACTGGCCTGTCCCAGAACATCCCAAATCGGGGGGTCCTCCACCTGGACAACTACACTTCTGCAGCCAGCCTGCCCTCTGCCCACAGCCTCCTGACCTGCCTCTGCTTCCTCCCACCTCTCCGGTGCTTTCCGTCAGAAAAACGGTCATCTTGTGGCTTCACATGGTAGGTTCGAGTATTTGGTAAGAACTCCCACTGGCTAGCCACAGCCCATCCCAGATGGTGTCCACAGAAACGCCCAACATTTTATTCGTGAGCCTGAACCCCTGCGGCCTGGCTCACAGGCATCCGTTGCCGCCACTGTCTCAGTCACCCCTGCTATACGACTGCGAGACTCTGGCCTCCTGTGACAAAAACACCGGGAGCTACACGGGCTGGGGCAAATGCGGATTTGCCCGGGGACTGTGCCCTGAGGCGCTGCCCTGTGGGACGGCGGCGGCCCACAGGGAGCTGTGTTCTAGTGTCCATGGCCTCCGGTCTACCTGCCCGGGACAGCGCACCCTCTCCCCCACACGCGCTCTACTGCTCTGGCGCACGTGGGACCTTACCTGTCCCGTTTCTCAGGAGAACCCTCCGCTGGCAAAGCGAGCAAGGTCACATCCGCCTGCCCACCCGCCTGCCGCACGAGGCTGGTCCTGGCACTCATCCGCGAGGAAACCTTTCAAAACCTCTCAACCCAAGAAAACGCCCTTCGTCTCCTACCTCTGCTTCCCTAGCCCTGCACAGCGGGTCTCCCCGTGCTACACTAACCGAGTTTCAGGCTTCACGGCAGAACCCTGTCAAATGCTTTTTAAAAAAATCCCTAAAAGCTCTGAGAGAGGTGCACATGCTCACGTCCCGTGGCAGACAGGACGGGCCCACAGCGTTCTCTATGCAGACCACGCTGCCCCCCCCCCCCAAGTGATCCTGTAGTGCTCCTTTTTAAAACAAAATTCATGCTGCGCAAGAAGCAGCCTCAGCCTTCGCAGGGCCTGTGCTGACCCCTGGTCAGCGTCAGGCGGGGACTGGAATGGGTTACGCACGTGGGCCGAACGTCTGCGAGGCAGGCAAGCCCTGCCGCGTGCCAACAGCACGCTGCTCGGACAGTCCTGAGACTCACTCTGGCCCTGACACTGATGATTCCAGGACATGTGTCCCGAGGGCCCCCAGGCCGGAGCGCTCTCTCTGGTGCTCCCCGGCCATCACCTTTCCATCCTTGAAAAGACTCTGCAGGATGATCAAGTGACCTGTTGACTCCTGGCGAGTTTATCACTTTCAAAACCAAACCTTATTACTGACTCGAGTCCTTTGCACCATGAGAGCCTGCATCTTGAGGACGGGTCACATCAACGTGCCTCCGGGCCTCACCCCCCCCCCCCCGACTAAGACACACGGCCTCCTAGAACCCAACAGAAGTGGAGTGCAGGTCCCTGGGTGGGCCATGGCGGTCAAGCTGAGCAGACGGCTGCGTGGCAGGGAGGTGCCGAGGGCCCTGGGCACGGAGACCTGCCCTCGGGGCCCCGGGCACAGGCCGCGGCCCACCTCACCACGCTGCCACCTCCTTCCCTGTAATTTTACAGTCTGCCCCCGTTTTTAAGAATGTCTCTTCTTTCTTTACGTTGGGCTCTGCCTTTGGCAGTTAATCAGGGAAAGGGCTTTGATTTAAGTGCCTGGTGTCTTCGTTTTGTGGCACAGGTCTCTCGGGCTGGGGGAGGGTGGGCATTTTGACCTGGTTTCGGTACTTATCCTGCAACATTTTTTCTCCTTTCTGAACTTGTTCCTGTTTTCTTTTCCTAAAACTGAACTAGGAAATAGGATGTATTCGATTTTAAGCTTTCCTTTGGATAAAGCTGAATTAACCAAGTGGGGTTATCAAAAGTCCATAAGGGACACCCAGCGGAAACTGCAGGACTGGGGACACAGTCGACACACGGCCTCTCCTGGGCTGGGCACAGTCCCGCCGGACGACCCTGTCCGGAGGAGGCCCTGCACCAGTGCTCTCGTGGGACAGGGAATCTCTCCTTATCTAACCCCCTCTGGCCAGGGTGCTAGAATAGTTGCTGGGACGCTAAAAAAAAAAAAAAAAGAGAGAGAGGGAGAGAGAGAGAAACCTTTACCCTCACGTGCTGGAAGCTTCTGGATGCAGTAAGATTTCGTACCATTACAGTCCATCTTTTCCCCCTTCATGGCTGAACCCTCGTATACTTTTAACTAAGAGAACTTAAAGAGAAAAACTAAGTTCATTGGCTCTTTCATACAAGTCTCTCCTCGCCTCAGCTAGGACCCTGAAGCAAAAACTCTCAGGCTTCCAGAAGTTACCTTGGGAGCCCATGTTGAGTTCAAGTGCCGTGCTGGGGCCGTCTCCCCTGAGCGCACGTGGGCCTCTGTCAACACTCGCCAGGACTCAGCTCTCAAATGCTCTGCCATTACCGCCACGCGGGAGGGGGCAGCAACACACTCCCCAGGGAGCCGGCCCTGGAAAGCTAGGCTGGTGGGAGGATGCGGTTACCTTCTTGGGGGTCGAGAACGCACAACGGCGAAGCAGCTCTAGCAGCCTGAGGAGCAATGGTTGTTTAAACGTTAAAGAAACTTTCTCAGCATTGCCAAGAAGCAGACACGAATGAGAGACTCACGGGAACATGAAGGGAGAGAGGCACACAGATGGCAGGAACCACGAGGCTCCACTGGCACAGCCCTGTCCGAGGGGCGGCTCCCCATCCACAAGGGCTTTTCGGGCAATGGCCCGAGCCACCACCACCCTCCCCTCCTGCAGAGAGAAGTGTCACCACCCTCACACAAGCCTGATCAGAACAGTCGCCACTTTCGAACAAACGCCAAATAAATAAGAGGTAGCGGGGAAGGAGAGACAGACATTCTGAGAGGGGCGGGGAGGGTAAACTCCACGGTGCCTGCTCCAGAATTCT